ACAACTGAAACCACACCGCCGTGAACCATCTAAAAAGATTCGCTTCGTAATTTTCCTTCTCCCTATGTAAGAGACTGTGTCTGGTCCTTGTTTTAGACCATAGTTACACTGTCTCGTTCCAGAAGCAACTGAAGGTCAAAAGATGTATGGGACCCAAGATCCGGCCATGAGACTGACTGAAAATTTGGGTTTATTTAAATCGCTGAGAAAATTAAGTACCATTCCTCAGCCTCACAATAGTTTCTGAGTGGTGAAAATTGTTCACGAGTGTTTCCCTGCATTACTGAATACATTGAGATGGTAAGTGCGATAGGTGTACCAAGGGGGTCGCAAAGGGAATCACTCTAAAGAAGAGGGGTAAATGTAATACTTTATTTATTTGACAGCCTGATGTCAGACCTATTCCCTCTTTCCCTATTTATGTCCAGCAGAAGGTCTTTGGAGGTTGCAGCTGCTTTTTTTTCTTGCGGTTCACTGTTCAGTTCTCCTTGAAATCGCTTTCCTTAAATTAATTGATATTTTCTGTCACCATACCGAACTTTTCGCCTCTAGGTTTGTCACGTTTGTATTGTGAATCGAACATGTTGTTTTAAAAAACTGACAACCTGGTTGATCACACCAAGGTTAAGTCGGTGCTCGAGGTTTTACGTGACGCCTGCAATGCCCCGGTGGGTTTGGAGAGCATTTTTGGTGACCTCGTTACCCACTTTATATCGTTTGAAGAGGCCTTTTCACCTCCTAATATTGCGAAATTGTTGATCTAGTGTATTTTTTCCAGTGTGTTAAGGCATAGATATGGTGCTGGGAACAATTGTCAACGTCCAAGTGCTTGCTGAAGCACACTAAAACTTACTTAACTCTTGGTTCTGTATCATCTCTGTAGCTTGTTATGGATTTGCTGGTCTATGTTTGTTGTCTCCGTTCTGGTTTTTTCTTGCAAAGGCCAAGACGACGAGTTCATGGAATTTTATGATCCCGATGAAGGTAGCCCTGGTTATTATGCGTTGAAAAATTGTTTGTGAACAATAGTTGAAGCGGAAGGTCTAATCCATCGGGAGCCTGCTAGAGAATCCTCTTTTAACGACTTTGAGCAGCCGATGGAAAGCGAATCCGACGACTCGAATCATGAGGTATGTTTAAATTGTCGCTTTCTTGTTTAGTCAGTTTGAGGGTTTTGTTTAGAACTCTTTTTATCTTCAACATAGTCCATTCTGGAAATTGAACCTGATGATGAAGAATTTGAAGGGTACATTCCTCGGAAAGTTGAATCCGAAAACAGTGACTCGTCCTCAAATAAGCCTCTTTTAAAAGTAGCCAAAGTAAGCTATTTTTGTTTTAAAATGTTTCACTTTCCTGCTACTTTGATCTACCTCCTAGTCTACAATGTCTTTCATTGGAGTTAATCACGATCATGCTTCTTTAAGACATTCTTGCTTACTGCTTTCCTTCCGGAATATTGGGTAGACTTTTATGCTCAAGCAAGGTAATCACAGATTTTGATGAACTCACGTATTTAAATCACGATGGAGGTGCGTCTTGCGTTGACTCCTGAGTTCTTTCACATACAGGCAGTAATGGTGATCGTCAACTCTTAGCTTGACTGTTTATCATCTCTCGCTTTTGCAGTTAACAGAACTTTTACCGTGTTCCCCGTAATCTCCAGAACTTGGCAGACAAAATGGCGGGATGGTATTCACTTTCGCGTGGCTGATTTTTTAGTTCTCATTGCTGAAGTTCTTCTGCAAATTTACTGCTCGAAGACTTGTTAAAGGGAGTGCCAATGCAATCATGTCCAAAATGAATCTGGAACTGTCTTCTCTTGTGTCTGCTGCTTTTATGTTCATATTCTGTCCTTAGCATAAATTGACACTTGTGCAGTCGTCTTAGAAATCGTTGATGAGCTACTGAATCAGCTTTTACAGTCTTTATTTTTCATTGAGGGGTGTCCTTTGACCTTACTTAAAGTACTGAAATTTCGTGAAGCTTATGAATAGAACGATTTGAAGGGTAAATATTCGTGCCGTTTTGCACTACCTGTGGAGAATAATGCTTGCGCGGAATAACTATCGGTCCTTTTCGTTCACAGGAGTATTTTTTACGATTTCACTACTTACTTCCCAATTGCCTCGGGAATCTCTGCGTCCATTATTCCAATCATGAATTTTTCCGCATTGGTTTTTTTTATGCCCCTTTCTGGATCAGTATACTTGTCCATTCTTTTCGTATATCAAAGCATTTCCCATTTTTTAAATTT